ACCTGCCTGTGCTAGACACTCTCCCATGTGATACCCACACAATGCCTTATGGGTAGTGTGATGATTCAGTCTAACTGACAACTTCATATGCTCTAAAATCACCCAGGAAGAGCATCTCAGTGAGTGACAGTCTGGATCAGGGTACCCTTGACTACATTGTCTTGATCACATTACTTGAATTAGGAAGTCTCTCCCAGTGTGAGCAGCAGCATTTCAGGGGCTATTTCTTGGACAGAGTGAGATTAGAGAAAGTGAGTTGAGCAGAAGTGTGTACACATTTGTCGCCTCTGTGCTCTGGAGTGTGATGTGATGACTCACTAGGGGATATCCTTTCCCCTGCCTTGCTCAGGATATTTTATCACAGCACCAGGAAATGACATTAAGTCATGTAGCAAATGTCCAAACTCAAAGCTGCTCAATTGAATTTTTTCTTGTGAAGAAGCTCAAGGGTGCCATTGAGCTCTATTCTGAGTTCCACTCTACAAATCCTCACTAATTTAGCTGTAGGACTTGAGCTGTGTACTATAAAGAGCCTCCTACACTCAGCTCTACTTACTGTTGCCAAGGGAAACCACCTGAATATCTTACCTTAATACGAGTGGATGGCTCATGTGCATTTTGAGCAAGCACACAGAATGTTCTAGGGTAAGAATCCATGTTTGGAAGTAGTGTTCTTTCGCACCAAACTTGAAATTTTCTGGTTGTTTTTCTAGCTTAAACATTAGAACTTTGGTCTACAGAGTGAGTACCAGGACAGCCAGGGCTATATGGAGAAACCCTGTCTCAAAAAAAAAAAAAAATTAGAACTTGGGCTGGAGAGATGGCTCAGAGGTTGAGAGCACTGACTGCTCTTCCAGAGGTCCAGAGTTCAATTCCCAGCAACCACATGGTGGCTCACAACCACCTATAACAAGGTCTGGCCCTCTTATGGCATGTAGACATATATGCAGGCAGAACACTGTGTACTAAATAAATAAATAAATAAATAAATAAATAAATAAATAAATCTTTTTTGTTTAATTAGAACTCTTCAGAGATCCTAAAAGGCTATTCTAGGGGATGCTGGAGACACTTCATCTGACCCCAAAGACCATCCTTGGTGAAGAATGACTTCAAAAACTCCACCATGCTCATCACAGCCAGCTTAGCAGGGCCAGGGAAGGTACATGTAAAATCTTACCTACACATTCAATTCCTCTCCGAAGTTGGAAGTCAGACTATTACTATTGCTATGTTTTAAGATTTCAGGTTTGTTTTTGAAATGACGGAATATCAAACCTTGTGGGAAGAGTTGTAGTATAATGGGCTAGAGATGCAGTTCAGTTGGTCAGAGAGCTTGCCTAGCATGCATTAAGCTCAGAGCTTGATCCTTAGCACCTCATAAAACTAAGTGTGGTGGCACATACCTGTAATCCTAGCACTTAGGAAGTGAAGGTGAATAGATCCATAGTTCAAGGTCATCTCTTCCTAATAACAAGTTCAAAGCCAGCCTAGGATGTATTTGTGACATATATTAAATGTTTAATAGCAAATGGCACTTTTATCACAAGGATACACAGATACCACACAAGTGCACATGCTTGGTGCACATATGGGAATGTGCACACACACATTCATACACACACACCCCATGGCCTTACATAGAAGTCAAAAGTCTATGTGTGAGGCTCCTTGCCAGTGTGAGAATCAGGATTCAGCCAGGGTGTGCAAATGATAAGAGTTAAGAGTAATGTCCCACAATTGGCACCTTATGACTGCTATTTCCTTTACTGCTCCAAGGTATTAAATCTCTGCCTCCTTGCCTTAACAGCTGAGAGCCATGTGCAGCCATTTTTCCTCTGTCATCCAATAATGACCTCAGATCTTGTTCATCCTGATAGTTTTGGATGTTCTATGTTTGCTGAAGATTCCCAAATCTTAAGTGTAAACCATTGTATTCAACCCATAAACTCCCTTGCCCACAGGACACTGTCATTTGGTGCCTTGTTGGTACCTTAAACCCTGCAACTGAATAAAGTCCATTCCTTTTGCTTTTCTCTTCCCAGATCTATTCTATAAACCTCACTCCTCTGATAGGAGGTACCACGGCATCCTCAGTTCTTTTTTTTTTTTTTTTTAAAGATTTATTTATTTATTATATATGAATGCATTGTAGCTGTCTTCAGACACACCAGAAGAGGGCATCAGATCTCATTACAGATGGTTGTGAGCCACCATGTGGTTGCTGGGATTTGAACTCAGGACCTCTGGAAGTGCAGTCAGTGCTCTTAACCACTGAGCCATCTCTCCAGCCCGCATCCTCAGTTCTATCTACCTGGCATTCCCTCTAACATCTCCCTGTAGCAGAACCCAATTAATGGGTCTCAAGTAGATCCCAGTGGCAGTGGCAGAGCTCCCCACTACCTGCCACAATGTCCTGCATTTCCGAATAAACACACACACTAAACACACACACACACACACACACCTTTTAATATGCCTTTAACAGCTCCATGGCTGGGGCACTTCCTAACCTTCACATGGCTAACACACTTCCCTCCGATATTCCTGAGTTATTGCTTACTAAAATCTATATTCCATCTTTGTTGTCCCGGACCCAGACCTGCAGCCCCCTCAGCTGCATTTCCCTGCACCTACATGACAACTATCTCTCTGTCTTCTGCACCTCTCAGGCCTGATGTCTCTCTTCCTTCCCTGGCAGGGCATTTATATCTCTCCCTCCTCCTCGGTCCCTTGCCTCAGAATCTCAAAAGTCCGGCCTCTGTCTCCCTGCCCCGTTATTGGCCCCCAGCAACTTTATTTACCAATCAAAACCAACTAGGGGCAGGGTTCCCTGAGTGCAGATTCTTGTGCAATTTTGGGGACCAGATTAACATAATACAAGTAGCATTCGACCAAATCCACAACATCTCCCTCCCCAGTTCCCTTTGTCTGGCGTCAACACACCTGGAGAGCATTCCTCTTCCTCTGGGAAGCTGCCCAAACTCCTCAGCCTGGACCCCATCACATACTCCAATCAAACCTGGTCTGCCCTTCCACTTTGCTTATTATTGTGAGCATTAGTTAATTGGGTACTTCCCATTAAAGGCTAACCCCAATGACAGAAAGGAGCTTCCTTCCTAAGTTGCTAAAGTCATGGCTTTATAGCCATAGAAATCCTAACTAAGTCTAAGGACCTCCAGGTCTGTAGCCGTCTACACCCTTTCTAGTCTCTTTTTGTATTGTCTCATTTCATCTCAATGTAAGTAATAAAGGTAGGACGTGTGGGACCGCACTACCAGACAGGCTTAAGAACTGGTAAGATACTAGGCAGTGGTGGCACATGCCTTTAATCCCAGCACTTGGGAGGCAGAGGCAGGAGGATTTCTGAGTTCGAGGCCAGCCTGGTCTACAGAGTGAGTTCCAGGACAGCCAGGGCTACACAGAGAAACTCTATCTCGAAAACAAAACAAAACAACAACCAAAGTGGTAAGGTTGAATGAGCTCAGACCAGGAATCCAGGGTTAGGGGTTGGGGGAATATCTCTGGGATTTGACAGCAGGAGTGGAGCCATTCCCTCCCTCCCTGTCTCTGCACCTGCTCTGAAACTTGTAACCACAACACCCCACTGTGACGACCATGGACACTCAGCCACGTAGCATAACACCTGGAGTTCTTCTCCACGCAATGGCCTTCAGCCAGTGAGCTTCCCCTCCTAGATATTCCTTTCCCCCCAAAAAGGTATTTAATCCCTGGTTCACTTTATATAAAGGGTATCCATTCACATCTACCATAAAAATAAAGCAATATGAACAAGGAAGGATCGTCTCAGCGAACTGCTTCATTAAGGATTGCTGTGGGGAAGGCCATCTAACGAGCCGTGCCTAAAACTCCTGAGGAAGGCTTTCTTCTCTCCAGCCCTTCCAGTACTCTCAGCCCTCACTCCCAATCAGGTCTTATTTGGCTCATCCCATGCTCAGCCTCCCCCATCCACCTTGTGTGCAGGCTCCTGAAGGAAGGCAAAAGGTAGCTGGTGGACTCCTCTTTTGTTAATTGAGGCTTCCTTCTTACTTTTTTATGGTATGCTTTGGTTCTGGGTAGGAACCCAGGCCTCAGGTACTCTACCCATTGAGCCACACCCCAATTATTCTCACCCTCATTTTATTTGCGTATTTAACTAATATTACTAATTTGTATAGCTCAAATTTCCCTATATTCACATTTTTTTTTTAGTTTTGTTTTCTTTGTTTTTGAGACTGTTTCACTATGTATCCCTACCTGGTACACAGCTTTATAGGTAGATCAAGCTGGCTGTGCACTTACAGAGACTTGCCTGCCTCTGTCTCACAGGCATTTAAAAGCATGCACTACCATACCTAGCTATGTCTACATTTTATCTGCATGAATACTTAATATGTTTGTTTAAATTAGCTTTCTTTTATTTACACCTACTATACCTATATGCCAAATAATAGGCTCAAAATTCTGATTTTTATACAGCTAATACTTTGCACAGAATCTGAAGATACATGCACAGCTGACGTAAGAGTCAGCTGTGTTACAGTGGTTCTCAATCTGGGGGTTGCAACTCTTTTGGCAACTCTCTATCTCCAAAAAAAAATTATATTATAGTTTGTAACAGTAGCAAAACTACAGTTATGACGTAGCAAAGAAAATAACTTTATGGTAGGGGGTTGACACAATATGAGGAGCTAAAGAGTCGCATCATTGGGAAGGTTGAGAACTGCTGGACCATGGCGTGAACCTTGTCCTTTGCAGGTGTCAGAGACCCATGGTACCTGGGACAGCTGCTTTAGAACTGCCAGGAGCCCATCAGAATCACACATTTTCAAGCTGGGTGTGGTGTTATACCGCTGTAATCCCAGCACACAGGAGGCTGAGGCAGAAAGAGTGTGAGCTTAATGTTAGCTTAGGCAACAAAACCCTGTCTGAGAAAACCAAGTGAAGAAATACCCACTCCCCAGCCTCTGCCACACCCCAGACTTGCTGATTGAAACCCTGGCCACAGGCCTGAGAATAGCTACCACAAGCTGGGTGAGCTTCCCATTGAAATGACTAAGGTAACATTATCCTGTTCTGACTCTATTTTGTGTGTGCTTAGACAGTTCTCAGCCCTTTACACTTCTTCCCACAAAAGTCATATCTACCTTGACAACATGTTTGAGATCTCCATGGCCTTGAGTATGGACCAGATGTATTAACCAAAATAATTGACCAGTTATGTCCGAAATACCTGCTATGCTCTGCCAAGAATCAACGTTTCAAGGTTACTCTGACCCTCATCTAACTGGTGTATCTATGTAGTTTTACCTTTAAAAACTGTATCCCTGAACTTAGGCACCAAGAGACTTTTTGAAGGCTCAACCCCCTCTTTGGTTTGGGCATTAATAAAAGGGACTTAAAATTATTGTCTTAATAAGTATGGTTATCTATAAGTATCTCATGTGGATCATTTGGAGGTCACATGAGATTTCCCACCCTCTGCTCCATGAGACTCAGCCTTGCTCCTGGCCTTCCTGGTGCAGGAGAGGCTGCTGGGGAGGTTCCTCCTCGGGAGCGTTCCAGGGCTGCACGCCTCTCCTCTCTAGAGAGGTCCGGAGTGTTCCCAACACCAAAAGAGTCCTTCTGTTATTGGTGGGAGATGAGTCTGTATACTGAATTGTGGGTGAAGAGAATGAGACCCCACGGGAGCCTTCTGGATAAGAGAGATAGGCCCAGAAGAGGTGGGGGGGGGGTCTCTTCTGGATAAGAGGGATGGATATTTAAGGCCCTAGTCGTGGTTTAGGAAGACAGTTTTCGACAGGAAACTCTTTCCTAGTCCTCCTTCCATACTAAGTTGGAAGGTCAATGGCGGACTTTGAATCCTGGTTCTGCCTCTCATAAGAGGTCTGGTTTCGGTTTTGCTTGAATGAATGGCTGACCAACTGTGTGAATAACTGAGTGCATGAAAGAAAAGTTTGGCCCAGATTTTTGATTGAACGTGTGACAGGCAAGTTTGGGTTTGGGATTTGTTTAATTGATTTCTTGATTTTGCTGTTGGTATTTTTGTTTTGTCCCAAAAGGGATCTGACTGATTGACCAATTGGTTAAAATTCTGTGGCTTTTCCCGTATTCTGCCAGTAGATGGCACCCTCTGCCGATGTTAGCTGCTTGTCTTTTGATTTGCACCCTAGTGCTTCTCTCACCCGGGCCCTACAATTGGGGATCTGTCCCCAGCCCTGGCCTGATTCATGTGACAATGTGCAATTCCCTGGGACCTGGGCAGGCTGGATTCGCTGTGGGCTCCGGGGAGGGTGCAGGATGGAGCCCTCCGCTCCTCTTGGCTCTGCCCGGAGCCTGGGTCTGGGCCTGGGAGGGTAGCCTTGGTGCTCCCGCGCAGGGCGGCGGCTGCTCCCTTCGCCTACTGCCCTGTCACTTCGGAGGCACCTTTGGCTTCCCAGCTTGAGGGCCCTCTATGCCTTATACTGGACTTAGGTGTGGCCTCTCTTTGTCTGTCACATTAGATGCTGCTCCCTCAAGAGGCAGGGGGCAGTGGCTTAAAAGGACGTCACCCTTTCCTTTCTCTACTTCAGATCGGCATAACTGGAAGACTCAGAGCCCCTTTTTCTGATAATCCCAAGCCTCCAACTCTCTCCTGGAATCTGTCCCCTGCATGGTTCCCTACCTGGAATGTTAGTCAGTAATTCCTTCTGACCCGTTACTTCAAAGGAAAGAGTTTACATGGGCATAGATCTGAACTGAGATAAAGGGAGGCTTTTTTGGCCTTAGTTGCTGGTACGGATGCTTTTAAAAGCTACTCGATTTGAGGCAGTGTTTCCGTCCGAATGCCCCTATTGGGTCCCCAATACATATGCAGGTTCATCAGGCTGTGGACACTTGTCACCAGAATCTTCTGACTGGAATTCAGGATGCAGCTTGCAACCACTAATTTGTCTAAAACTAATGAGGTTTTTCCGGGCCCAGAAGAGTCTCCTGGGGCATTACTCAAGGAGTGGGAGAAGCCTTCGATCTTATGTCTCTTTTGAGTCATTAGCTCCGAAAAAAATGCTAGAGCATTAAATTTGGCTTTTGTCCCTCAATCAGCTCTGGACATCCATAAGAAAATCTCCAAAATCTAGAGGGCTTTTCAGGGATAACCTTTTAGTTATCCCTGAAAGGATAAACCTTTCAGTTTATCATGGTACCCCCAAAAAGTTAATAGCTGAGACTACAGGACAGGCAAGATGCCTTGGCTACTGCTGAGCTTACGAAGTCAAGCAAGATCTATGCTGACTGCGTTCCAGTCAGCTCATTCTGAGCCCCTACAGCTCATACTGTACTGTTTTGTATCCAAATGATCCTCAAACAAACAAACAAAAACCCAAATTTACCAACATAATGATGCCAATACAGGGAGTACAGACATTAAAGACAATCACCTTACAGCTAAACAGTTCTGGCCCAAAAACAGGTGACTCACTCCTTTGCAGTGGTCTCAGACTGTTCTTTCTCTCTTCTGGGCAGAGGTATGTCACAGTAAATCTCCAACCCGAATAAGCCTGTGCAAGGAAAACACAGCTCAAGTAATATGAATACAAGCTGCATGCCTAGATTGGGCCGACCCACCACTACACTACTCTATCCCCAGCTGTGAGATCCCTTATCACTTGCGGTTTCTCTAGGCCATGTGCTTCTGTTCCTTTTTCCTTCCACCCCCTCGTCTTCCTCTCCTTCTCTCCCCCATCCTTTCTCTCCTCCTCTCCCAAAACATTTTTGCTCACCCTCTCTTCCACTGTCCAATCACAGGCTCTAACCTTTATTTTACAAGTTAAAATAGGGAGAAGGTTCCTAAGAAGTCACCTGAGAATGTGATTAACTCCTCATCCCAGGCAGCCCCTCTTGGGGAAGCTGAATTATCATCAAAATACCAACAGCACCAAGGCAATCCATAACAGAGGTATTGTTTAAAAATTAGACACCACTGTGATACCTAAAGAAAATCCATGTTTGTGTTAGGCATCCATTTTGGTGTCTAATAGCAGTTTTTACCTGACTCAAGTTCCTAGAAGATAAAATTCCTAGGAACCTTGACTCCCTAACCCTCACCCAGAAATGTACAGCCATGACCATCTGCTTGTTATGATATGACTAATTGCTGATTTTGGTTTTTATAACCTGCTCATGCAGACATTCAAGGACTATTCTAAAGTCACCTTGACCATCTAATCTTGGCAGAGAAGAAAAGCTCTTGTGTGTTTCATCTTTAAAAGACCTCCCTTCACCTGCCTCTGGTTAGCATGTCTCTGATTTGGGCCAAAGACTACGAGTGATCCTGTAGTGGCTTTAATAAATTTGATTAATTAAAATGTGAATTGAGTCTAGGGATCTTTTCTGAGTGTTCTTGAACTCCATAACACCATCATCACCTTTACTCTTCAAGAAATATCCCTACCTACTACAAACTCAGCTGAACTGCTCTCTGTCTGAAGAATATCTTCTAGTTCTCCCAGATGCCACAACAGAAACAAATCTGGACCCAGGGATCTGCTTCAGGATTTGCAACAACAATTTCCTAGAATACAGGTTGAGAGAAGTCTTCCTGGCATGGCACCACACCACCCACCAGTTTTGGTAAGTCTCTTCACTACAGCCACATCAGTGAGGGTCTGGTGATACCTCTGGAACCAAAAAGCTAAACTGGAAACTGCTCCCTATATCAAGAGGCTGTTTGAATGTAATTACCTTACCCCATGACAGTTGGTTTGGAATCTGCCTTTCCTGCCTGTGCATAAACCAGGGATCTCAGGTTATCAGCCAGTTCAGGATCTCTAGGAAGCAAATAATGGACAGAAACCATTCCTCTTGCAGTTTCAATCTCACCAGAACACTAGGTTGATACAGCCCAAGGCCTTAAGAATGCTTACTTCTCTATTCCCCTTATGCCAGATAGCCAGCCCATGTTTGTCTGATTCAATGTGTAATGAGACTAGCCAGCTAACCTGGACATGACTACCTAAAGAGTTCAAAAATCCCCCTACGCTATATTGGGGAAGCATTACAAAAAGACTTAACAGGATTCCTCTGGGTTCCGCAACGCAGTTCAACTCTGCTCCAGTATGTAGATGATATTCTAACGGCAGCAGCCAACACTGCCATCTGTTTGAAAGTCATAAAGGACTTGCTCCAACTGCTCCAGACATTTCATCTCCAAGAAAAAGACTCATGCTGCCAAACAAAGTCTCCTATCTGGCATACAAGACCACTCAAGGTAGGAGAATGCTCAGCACCACCCAGAAGGAATCCATGACTCCTAAACCAAAAAGCAAATAAAAGAATTCCTGGGCACAGTAGATATTTCAGGCTCTGGATTCTTGGGTTAGATGAAATAGCCCAGACCCTGTATTTTGTCGTTGGAGAGATCAGCCTTTGAAGCAGACTAAAACAGAGGAACAAGCATTTTGGGAACTAACACAAACTCTAACCCAAACTACCAGAGATCACTAGACCATTCCACCATTTTATCCATGAGACTCAAAGGATTTTTTTACTCAGATCCTGGCACCCTGGCCCAGGCCTGTATATATCTGCCCAAGTGTCTGAATATGATGGCCTCTGGTTGGCCATTTTGATTGCATGGCATAGCCGAAACTGCTACACAAGTAAGAGAAACCGACAAGCTCACCTTGTCACCGAGCCAGAACCTGACTTTGACAGCTCCCCACACTGCCGAAGCCCTCTCAAAGGAACAAATGACTAGTGGGTGTCAAGTACCCTCATCAGTCAGTACCAGAGCCTATTGCTTGATCAGCTCTGTTTCACTTTTGCTGTGGTACAGCCTCAACCTTGTGACATAGATATCTGATAACAACCCTGAGATCCTCCTCCCTGACTGTGGGAACTTGCTGGACATATGTCAGGCTAGCCACCCAGACCCCTGAGACACTCCGCTACTTGAGGCAGAAGCCTACTGGCAGCTGAAGGAAAAGACTGTTTTAAACAAAGAGGAAACTGTTGCTTTCTTTAAAACAGTCTCACTCCCCAAGGAGGTGGCTGTTATCTATTGCAAGGTGTATCAAACAGACAACACACTTGAAGCCCAAAAAAATCAAAGGGAAGATGAGGCAGCCCAATTAGCAGCAGAGATTTCTGCAGAGCCCCCTTCTGTCTTGCCCATTGCTTTTCCTGATCCCCAGCTCTTTCCCCCATCCATCTACTCCCAGGAAGAAGGAAACAGGGATCATTCCTAGGAACACTAAACAGCTTACAACTGGATCATAGATCTTACCAGACTGAGTTACTATCTTCCAGGTACAAGATTCTGCATCTCTGAGAGACAGCTGCTCAGGGTGCCTCTAAATATCTTTCCTGCATACAGGTTAACCCAATGCAAAGGCCAAAGGATTGCCCATCATTCCTCTGAAGGGGCTAGCCCCTGATGAGGAATGGAAAGTTGATTTCACAGAGATGAAGGCTTCTTAAATCAGGTATAGCTACTTGTTAATGTTTGTGGACACCTTCTCATAATGAATAAAAGCTTACCTGGACAGAAGTAGCTCTGACAATGGTCAAGCCTCTTTTACATGTGGTTATTCCTACATTCGGGCTGCCTCTATCTGTTGGATCAGATAATGGATCTGTTTTCACTTTGCCCATAGCTCAATAAGTCAGTAAGTCCTTAAACATAATCTGGGAGTTTCACTGCTCCTACCAATCTCAGACAGGTTAAACGGAGGAACTGCACTAGTAAGTCCATTTCTCTAATTAATTTTGGAAACCAATGAAAATTGTTCCAACCTACTACCTCTGGCTCTTTTTAGGACAAAGATAGATCCCCTACAAAGCAGAATTCACCCACAGTGAGATTATGTTTGGAAGGCCATTCATTCCCTTGTTGCCCTGTTTAAGAGTTCCTATCATTGAGGAGATCAGTCTCTTTTTGAGTCTCTCCAACAGGTCCAAATTTTGGTCCATTCTAGGGTTGAAGACATCTTTCCAGATCCTTCTGCAGTGCCTCATCATTCATTCTGACCCAGGGACATTAAGAGGTTTCAGAAAAATGGACTGACACCTGCCTGGAGAGGACTTCACGCTGTCATCCTGACAACATCAGCTACAATCATGGTAGATGGATATCTGCTTGGATTCACCACTCCCTTGCCAAGCTTGTTCCAGACCAGGACCAGAAACAGACTGTCTCACTTGGACCAGATCCATTCAGGCTAAGACTCTCTCACAATAGAACACATGGTTGGTTATATATAGCTCCCCGCCTTCTGCCTCTTGTAATATTAGTCTCACAGTTACTCTTAACTCAGAAACTTATTTCACTCCCACAGGAACTTGGTTGCCTGTTTCATGGGTCTCACATGCTGTATGGCCACAGAACATCTGTATAATAATCCAGTGTTAAGTATTGTTGTATGTGAATTTTTATTCATGACCAGAGGGGGCCCACCTTTTATTCCCTATTGGACAGGAGAGCTTTTCCTCTCCTTGTTCCAATGATGGTAGAAATTATTCCATTTATATCTGCTGCCTTGAGTTCTACAGCCCTAACTGGGGGAAATGGGCCTGTAACAGAGAAGTTATCAGATAGAAGCAGACCTCAGGCACCTTCAGTTCTCCCTCTGTATGGTCCATGTCCATCTAGAGTCTCTGGCAGAAGTATCTCCCCATATCAGTTAGGCTTAGACTCGGTTTTCATGTCCCAAAGAGGACTTTACATGACAGTGGGAGAGGCTTGTTGTTTCTATGTTAACAAATCATGAGTTCTCAAAGAGATTTTACAAAAAGTTAATGATTTAGATAAAAGACAATAGAAGCATAGATTAGTTTCTGGTACCATAAAATGTTGAATTAAAATCATGGTTCACAAACTTCCTCACTGTCCTGGCTGGTCCTTTATGCCTCATTTTTATAAGACCTACTGTGTGTGTATAATTTAAATTACCTTCATTAAGTTAATGATCCTCAAGACTCAGTATTTACCCCTTAGCCAAGATCAAAGATTTGAAAATAACTTTTTAAAAAATGGGGGAGTGAAATGACCAAGGTAGCACCATTCTGTCCTGATTCCATGTTGTGTCTGCTTAGACAGTTCTCCACTCTCTACAGTCCTTCCCACAACAGTCATGCCTGCCTGGACAATATGTTTGAGATTTCTATGGCATTGACTACAGTAAAGATACATTAACCAGAATAATTGGCAAGTTGTGTCTAAAATACTCACTATGTTCTGCCAGGAATGAACATTTCAAGGTTACCCTGAACCTTCTCTAACTGTTGTATCTTTGTGGGTTTTGCATTTTAAAATTCTGTTTCCCTAAATTTAGAGACTAAGATACTTTTTGAAGGCTCAAGCCTGCTCTTGGTCTGGCTGTCAAGAAAAAAAAAAAACTTAAAACTTTTCATTGGCCTTCTCAGTGCAGCTGGCAGTAACTACCCCAAGTGAATCATTACACCACTGACCTCTCCACCAGGAATTCCCAGCTCAAGCTCCTTCTTGGGCCTCTGCTCTCCCCTGTCTCCCTTTGGAACCATAGATTCATTCTTGTTCAACAGCTGTGCCATGAGCCCCAGCCCAGGCATTGGCTTGCCTTGCCTTCAGGGCCAGCTGGATCCCTGGGGAGGCAGCCTTCATTTGTAATAATTTCTTTTCCCCCACTTCTACTGTTTCCCAACCTTTCAGGCATTGAGTTGATTAAATCCAGAGCAAGAAATAGGCCAGATCTTCTGTTCCACAAAAACTAATTACCTTCCCCATCCCCTGTTCTTTGCTGAGTTGGTTGTCTTTCCATTTTTCTCTGGGGTATATTCTTGCTGTTGGCATCTGTCAGGTGGTTTGGGTCCCCAGATGTCAGCACAGGTTTATGTCCTGAGACTGTTGTCCCTGTGTTGGTGGAAGGAGAAGCTACAGAACTCAGCCAGTCAGCTCTGCTCAGCCTCTGACACAGTGGCTGCCTTTAGTTCTATTCATGATTTATACTCTCTCGTTCGGTCGGGGTTACACCTGTTCTGTGACATTTTCTTACTACCTGCAGAGAGGCCAGAGCCGATATGTGCAAATCCACTTACTCCTTTTCACTTTCTGTTTCAGCTAATGGAACCAAAGTCTAGTGCATCATCAGACTAGAAACTGTTTCTCTTCTCTGTATTCAGTGCCTTTGGTCACAATCTAAGGAGAAGGGTTTAGGTGTCAAGTTAGGGAGAGTGGGCTTGTACTGGTGACTTTGAGTTGTTATTTTTTGTTGGACCGAGAAGCACCAAGGAGATAAGAAAAACCCAGGTGTATCTGGGAAAGTGTTGCACAGAGGATCAACTAAAGCCATGGCATCTACCCTGAAAATGGGTGGCATCATCCCATAGGTTCGGGACCCCAATAGAATTAAATGGAGCAAAGGAGGAAATCAGGACACGAAGAATTTTTTCCCCTTTCTTCTAGCTAGCTGTTATGATGGGAGCTGATATGGAGTTTGTGACCTCTGGGGAAAGACCATGGACTAAATCCAATTATAATTAAACGAGTTATTGATTAGCTGCTATCAGGATGAACAATCTCTAAGTCAAATTTGAGGTTTCCATGAAGGAGGGGTATGGGGAATTGATGAGGTTTGGTCTTTTGCTATGTACTATAATGCTAAATACTGGCCCTCAAAGCCTGGTTGCCACCAGGAATGAGAGAATCTGCATGTAGATCCAAGTGATGCTATGTAACCTTAGCCTCCAAGGTATCCCTGATTGTTGAATAAAGATGCCTACAGCCTATAGTTGAGGAGAAGAGAGATAGGCAGAGTGGTTGGTTCCTGGACTTGGGGTCTAAGGAGAGACCATGAGGAAGAGGAGGAAGATGGAAAGCGGAAAAATCACTGTGGTGTAGAAATCTCGAAAATATGGCCATGAGGACTGACTAATTGGAATTAAGAGCTGCCCAGATAGAACATGACAAGTTATAACTCAGGGTTATTGATGGGAAAGTAGATTAAATAGCTTAAAGGGTAGATAACTTCCCAGTTCTAGAGCTGATTAAAGGCTTACCATAAATAAAAAAGTTGTGTTGTCTTTTATCTGGGAACTGAATGATCAAGGTGGGGTAGGAAACCTCCGATTGGGATTAAATGTTACTACAACAGGGAATAATGTTTAAAGAGAAAAAAAAAACCACATGAAAACCTTCAATATCTATATAAGCAAGTAAAAACTTCTGTTCACTAAATTAAGTAATTAAGGCAACTCAAAATAATCTTTGGATAGCTGCATAAGCAAGTTACGGAAGTAAAAAGCAGTTAGTCATAACAAGTAGATAGCCATGGCTATACATTTTTGGATAAGGCGAGGTCACTAAATCAGAGTTACAAGGAACATATCTTCCAGGGACTGGAATCAGAGAAAAAATGACTTTTGAATACCAGGATATCATAAAATGGAGGTTCTTTAGCCATAACATTTCCCACTATCTCTATATCATATGAATCAAAATCATTGGTTTATACTTATGTAGGGATGAAGTTTAATATTTTAACTCTCATTCAATCAGATCTCAGCCCCCTTACATCTTGAGTAATCCTTTTTGTAATTCTCCAGTTTTAACAGGTATTTGTAACACTGAAGGTGGCTCTAGGCCAGTATGAGCTTTGGTGTGCTGAGACAGCCATTTGTTTCTTCTGACAGTGATAGAAAAACGTCTCCTTTGGCAGAGGGGAACTGGTTTTCTTCGGACCTAACGTTCCAGGCTTTTGTTAATGATAAAGGATGCTGTAGTCTTCTCTGTAAAACTGCTTCTTAGCCAAACTAGGACGGCGTTGTCAGGCCCAGAGAGGCTAGGATGATGGGCAAAGGTCTGGAGGGGAAGAGTATATCTGGTTTGCTTTCCAGGCTTTGTTGGATCATCTGAGGCTAGTGAACTATGGGTAGCTTCAGAACAGTCTGGAATGCTGGGCCAAAGCTGGGGCTCAAGCTGGTAGGAAATTTTGTCAGAAGCATTTGGCTTACATTGGCTTCAAGTCCAGGGCTTGCTAGTTTTGAAGGACCACCTGAGGCTGGTATGTTTGGAGCAGCGTGCAGTCTTTGGTTGATTGGAAATCTACTGGAACAATTATATGGACTAGGAATAGAAGTTAAAGTTTAGAAACTTAAAGGAAAATCTGCTCTTTGGAAATTTTAGGCCCATTATCCTGGTAGTTGGGGGAGCGGAGGAGTCCCAAGACTAGGGAGAGAGACAGAGAGAGATCCTATCCTCAGAGATAGGCACGTTGGGAAACTTAGGTTGTACTTATCTGGAGCCCATTAGATCTGTGAGGGGTAGATCCAAGCCTTGTGACTCCCACAATTCCCTGAAGCTTATATGATTTTTTTTTTTTTAGTTTACAAAAAGAGATAAAAGTTTTAGCTAATAGCATTACCACTGTTTGTAATCTGTACTAAAGTCTACAGTGTAGGAAAATCAGCTAACAGGTAAGACAGCCAGAGTAGACTCACACCTTTGAATCATCGCAAAAGCTATGGCTTTGGGATAGAACATTTTTTCTGTTGTCAGAGATGTTTTTAGCTCAATGAGAAGCACCCTTAAGTCTATATTTAGAAAACAACCAAAGGAAAATTAAAATCTTGAGCTCGTGACCGAATAGTAAGCTCTACCAACTTATTAGAACTCCACTGACCAACACTAACACTCTGAACTTCTGAAGTCTTAGTAAAACAATAGCATAGAAGGGAGAAAGAAATCGGAAATATTTTCTATTTTCATATACCTTAAATCTTCTCCTTATATGGTTTGCATTTACATACTTTAAATCATTTTCTTACACCCTCAGGAACTTAAGTGTCCACATTCTCAGAGCTTTATACTCTTTAAAACACTTCTTTAGACACTCAGAACGTGTATAGACTTTTAACCTTTTTTTTTTTAATCTAATCATTTATCAGAGACATGAGATGTTATTACTAAGAGTGGTCATTACAAAACAAGTTCTTTTAAATAAAGGAACAGTCAAAAGTTACATCCGGAACCTGTTTATCCTTTAAAATGAAGACTGTTAACCAGACAAACCTGCCTGCCTTTCTTGGCAGGAGATCTAGTAGCTCTAGAAACAGCAAGCCTGATTTTATGCATGAAATGAACTAAGGTGACTTGGGGGAAGGAGCTGTTGGCCTGTTGCTATTAATCTAACAAAGCTCAGTTAGCCTAGCCATCAACGCCATCAGAGATCTGAGAAGAATAAATTATAGTAGGAAGTACAATCCAAAAGGCCTATGAATCAGTTAAAATGACAGAGACTTGTCCATTACCTAGACAGTCACTCCACCAGCTCCATTGGTGATCCAC